AACTTAAATGATGGGAAAATATCCTGCATTTAAAGTAACCATTGTGCAGAAAGACAAACGACAGTAATGGTGAAAATACTACTTTTGTTCTAGAGGCTACAACAGAACTACCAGTGGTACAATGTGAAACATCTCTATTTAAATGTGAGACCATTTTAAATTGCTCTAAAATAAACAGCAACATTTGGCACAGTTGGTTGCCTACAGTAACCCTGTTTATCCTCAACCATTCCAAGCCCTTTTGTGTGACCCATCCTAATTCAATTAGAGTTGAATGGCTAAGCTCTCAGATTCATTTGTGACTAACACTTTGTGTCACCAGCAAAGCAAAATAACCTTCATAATTGTATCCTTAATAGTCATTGCTCATCATTTTTTACCAAAAGTTAAAGAGACAGTTCACCAAAAAAATGAAAATTATGTCATTCATTTATTCACTCACATGTCATTCCAAACCTGTATGACTTTCTTTCATCTGCGGAAGGCAAAAAGAAGATATTTTGTAAAATGTTGATAACTAAACAGATTCGTTCCCAATGACTTCTGTTGTATGGACAAAACATACAATGGAAGTCAATGTGAACAGAAACTGTTTAGTTATCAACATTCTACAAAATATCTTCTGTTGTGTTCCACAGAAAAAAGAAAATCATACAGGTTTGGAATGTAAATGTTGACAGAATTTTCATTTTTGGGTGAACTATCCCTTCATGATCTGCATGACTGAAAGATATAGACTAAAACCTGAAAGAACAAGTTTCCTCTTAATAATGTCACAATGTCACCCTGAAACTTGTCAAGTTAATATATTACAAGTATCACACAGTAGCCTACCTTCACATAAACGCCACTGTTTTCCATGAGACCCGAATGCCTGTAAATGCAGAAAAAGTGATAAAATTAGACCAGTGTGGTCACCAATGTCAAAATGTGGTAATGAGCTATGATTCATGTGTTTGTTTCTGAGTGGAAAGACTTATTTATAAGCATAACTTCACATTAGAGTGACAGGCAGGTGGCGGCTAAGGCAGGAAAATGTCACAGGAAAAACACATGCTGCTCTTTCCCATGACCACTATATCCTCTGTGTATTAGGGGATGCATTTACACAGTTCTGTACATTAACTGCTGAACCACAGACAGATCTACACCCAGTTACAGCCTCCTGTGTCCATTCCCAAACAAGAAGCCTCCATGCCGGACAGCCTGAATATCTTAGAGATTACAACACCAGTTCCCTCTCACGGTTTCACAATCAGATATTTAATGTTCTGGACAGAACGCAGCCTTCAGGGCTGGAAAAAAAAACAGCACTTAAAAAACAAAATGTTAAACACATTCCTCAACAGTCAGACGAATACCACAAAGACTCATGAAATCTGAATTACTTAACAAGTGTTTTTTTTTTGTTCTCCAGTATAAAAATAGAAATTTTCTCACCTCAATGGCATTTAAAAAAAAATGTTTTAAGCATAAATGGCACTACATTTAGTTAGATTTTTATTTAGAAAATATCTGCCATATATGGAATAAGAAAAAACATCTGAAAACAAGTCTCAATATCAACAACACAATTTTGTTTGCAAATAAATGTTACAGATGTTAATTTTTATTTTCTATTCGTATTAAGAAAATTATTTTTCAGTACATCAAAACATATGGCATACACATATTAGAAGACACTTTTAACACCTTACTCTGATGTTTACATTATAAATCATACGTCTCCTAAACAACCTTTTAACAACCATAAACCTCCCACCAGCAAGGGATTCTCAGAAAGTCATTCTCCTCTACAGAACACTCCCCAGACTTTTCACTTGTTCTCAGTAAAAAAAATAAAAAAAAACCCTCCTCAAATACGACATTCGACATGACAGGATGAGGAAGAGCACGCTTGTTTTCCTCAGGGAAATCAAGAAGAAAATGAAACAAAATTGCAGTATATCAAAAAAGTATATGGCATAAACATATTAAAAGACACTTGAACACCTTACACCAAAAATGTAGCGTACGTTATTAATCAGACGTCTCCTAAACAACATTTTAACAACCATTCCTACCAGAAAGGGATTCTCACCAAAGTCATTCTCTTTAAAACACTTGTTAGACCCTCCACATGTGCGGCATGCGATATGACAGGATGAGGATGAGCACGTTGTGTCTCTGTGTTGTCCTTTGTGATCTGTTCTCGCTGTGTTGTCTAACCGAATCCGAATGGAAACGTAGGAATGTCAGACCCAGAAAGCTGAGCGCGAAAACACATTTCTAAACAACAGTTACATAATGAGTAGACTCCCCTCCCCGAACCTCTCTACTCCTCTCAGACATCCATAAACAAGCACCGTCTATCACTATAAACACAAAAGACGTACTGACAATGTAACTTTACCCTAACATGTGACAATTTACCCTTTACTATACAGAGTGCAGCTTCTACGATTAGTTTCTTAATCAGAAGACCTTAAAAGTTCAACATTCAAAGTCATTTTGTAATATCTCACCTCAGAGCTCAGTGTAGAACTCATTGCTATAGAATTTGACTTTCATTCCATGTGTTAAAGTTGTTTAAATAACCTTAGCTGTCATTAACCACTATTAACCCATGGTCATCATGAGGCTTGTCCAGCTACATGATCCACTGGTGACATGCGTGTTTCACGCGCAGCTCTTTGACACGCAGCGCGTCGATTGTTCTTTGCTACAATGTTGCAGTGTCTCATGATGACGTCTTTTTGATGTATCTTTCTCACCCCTCCCCCTACAACTTGGCAACTTCATCATACTCCCAAAATACCTGTTTTTGTAATTTGTACGCCAAAAGTGTTTGTTTGTTTAGACAGTTCAGCAATACCAACTGAGGCTCGCAGATGCACATGGTCTCATTCAGATCACTGTATTATTCCCTGTGCCAGTCTCCGAGTGTCTCAGCTTGCAGATAAAGCACAGGAAGCTTTTATTTTCTTTAAAACAATGTATTTAACATTTAAAAATGGCATAACTAAACAAAATATAAAGCTAACACCAGTATGTAAGTAACACCAGCTATCATCCCTTTTAAATAAAGATAACTTTTACCAAGTTCAAGATTAAGTTGAGGATAATTCTCACAGAACTGCATTTTCTGTAAGAATTTTTCAAGATAAATTAAAACATTTTAAATGTTCATAATTCAAATTTATGTAGCCTATACAGTGCAACAGCAAAAAAAAAAAAACTGAGGAAAAAAAATAAATGTCACATTTGTTTATATATAGAGCATTTTCTATCACTTCAATTCAAGTTGCAATACCAAACAGGACCACACGGAGATGCCAACAGACCACTATACAAGTCGCCTTAACCTGATATAAATCTATACGGATCCATTCAGAATTATTCAACAGAGCAAAACATAATAAATAAATAAATAAAAACATTCTGAACTTCGAGGGTCGAATGTGGTGATCTGAAGGCGGTTCGACATGACAGAGTGAGTATTGATGCCCATATAGCCTATAAACACCACTGACTGCAGCAAATTCCTATAAAATCACGCTTCTTCAGTGAGTGTCCATTATAAAACACTTGCCAGACATGCGAGCAAACTGAAATGTGCTAATGCAAAAAAGTATCAGAGAGAGCACATACGTTTGTTTGCACACTAATAATAACGAACTCGCACACGCGGGTCTAATGTACGACTCCTGTATGTCACTGTAATCGTCTTTACCTCCATTACAATCGTCATCCATTAAAACTTACTGCTAAGATACTGATTTGCTTTATTCAGTCCATACAGACTACTCCTGACTTCAGCTTAAAGATAATTCATAGAGGTATTTGTTCCCACCAACAACTAACACTGGCTAACACTGTTAACTTTATTTACTAGCCACTAGCCAGCCATATGAAAACTCATAGATGTTTATACGGATATTCGGTTAAAAATATATGAAGTTTAACATATGGATTGTTTATAGCTTTGTAAATAAAAAAGGGAGTTCCTCAAGGACACATTAGGAAGTTGCAACAGACATGTTGGCTGTATATGGTGTAGCCTAATGCAAATTTTCTGAAATATCTCAGAATGAGAACAATGAGAATGAGCAAATGAGTCTTTTTCTACAGTCAGTTTTTAAACTGGTCCTAGGAAACTGCACCCATGTGAACCTCAGGTCACATTTGACCCATATTAACATCATTAAAAATGAATGAATTCTTGATTAGGGTAAACAGGTCTAAAGACTTTAAAAACATTTATTTTTACAACTTTTGGGGCAAAAAAAGTATCTCTTTCCCTGGATCAAAACCTTTTTTGCATTTGTAATATTGCACATCTTTTATAATAACCCCTGCTATTAGTAATTGAATGGTGTAAATCTTAAAGTTTACAATTTAACAGAATAACAAAATAGCGTTAATTTATGCACATCCATCACAACAAATCCAGTCCTCCACAATATTCCAAACATTTGGTTTCAGTATGTGTTTAGGAAAGTGCAGTAGTGATTTTGGTTCTAAGGGGCCTTTTACCCCATGTGATCTATCATAGAGAACAGTAGCTTATGTGTGGGCAAATATTAGTAAATGTAAAATATTTGTAAAAAAATGTGTCCAATTTTGATTAACAGATTTACAAAAAATAGAATAGCATTACAGACAAAAGGTGTAAGACCACAACAAATTCTTCAAATACAAATTTGACAAGTACAAACCAAGTAAAAAAGTAAAAAGCTCTCTCGCTCTCTCTCCATATATTATAATCAATAAGGTTCAGTTTTTTAACATTAACATTTAACGCTTCTAAAGCATTTATATCAAACAGAGAAATATGTCGAATTTGCAAAGGGCTACAACGCAATCAAAAATGAAACTGAAACGACAGTTTAATATGCCCAAACCTCAGGCTCTTTGTATAATATTTCAACTATTTTAGGTTTTGAAAAACTGTGAAAAAGAAAGAAAAAAAGCACTGGGTACTCTCGCGCACGTCTCTGCGCAGCGCACGACACACGACCATGGCAACAAGAAACAATTGTATTTGCAAGTTTGTATTTCTCAGACTGTTTCGTTTAAATTACGTAAACGTTCAATGCCTCCCAAAAAGAATGGAAGAGGGAGCGGAGATAAATCACTTAAAAAGGGAAGTATGAATCCCGAGCAGAAAAACGACGAAGAATTGACGGAGAGTGACAAAAACTTTTATCGGGCTCAAATACGCGACTTGGAGGAGCGACTGGAAAGGTGTGAGTCTCTTGCAAGTTACCACGAATTTATTTTACATGGTTGTTTATTATGTTACATTAGTCAGAGGTTAACAAGAAAATACATCTGAATATATCTGAGAAAAAAACTCAGCAACTCAAACACAAAAAGCACTTGTACATTAATGTAGCCTAGTAAATCAAAAGTAATGGGGACGTACGCAGCAAACACTCACCTAATGATAATGTTGATTTGACAAGTTGATTGAAGTTCCCGTATATTTGGATTAAAATATAGGCCACAAGATTTTAGTTCATAGTAGCCTATTTATTCGTGTAGCTCATGTAGGCTACGTGCATTTGAGGAAACTCAAATGAAATAGACTTTGGATTATAATCTACTGTTAATGATTAAACAGACACCATACTTAAACAAACATGTCATACCCTCAACAGGAAGCACTTGCCTCATACAAGCTATTACGAACTGAGAACTTGTTTTTTTTTTCTTGCAGATACCAACATAAATGTGATGAATTGGAGGTTCAAGAAAAGGGCTTGTACTCTAAGATCAATAATTTGGAGAAAGAGAAGAAAGACATAGTTCTCTACCTGAAACGCACACTGGCTCAAAAAGAGGATGAACTGACTGATCTGGCTGAGACTTTATCAAGACACCAGCAAGCCCAAGAGGCTGAGAGGGAGTCCTTTGAGTTACAACTGAGCCTGCTTAGACATGAACTTCAGGAAAATAAGGAAAAACTCACATCTGAGAACATGGCGCTTGGTACAAGCTTTTGAGCAGTCACACATTCACACCGAATATAAACATCGAATGAAATGAAAACGTATATGTTATCACTAACCGTGATATTAATAAATGCACCTTTCAACCAATCATTAATTAAAATGTGTTAACCTTTTTGTGTTCAGCTGGTAAGCTGGCGTCTTTGGAGGAGTTTTCTATGCAGAGAGAGAAGCTCATGGCTGAGCGCAGGTCTTTGAAAGAGCAGCTTCAAAAGCAAAAAGAAGAACATCAAGCTCACATCTATAATCTGGAGAAAAAAGCTGTACTGGACAATGACAGGTGAGCATGTTCATACTCATTGTTCAGAGATCAAGGTCATGGGACGTGCATTCTTAGATGAATATGACTGTATCAACTATTTTTCATAAATTTTGTGCATTATTTGAGGTCTGAAGCCGAACATTATAAATTACATATATGTCAAATGAGATACTGGTTTCCATTCATCTTCTATTTTCAGTGAATGATTGCAATGTAAGGCCTTACAAAGAGGCATTTATTCAATACATAAGTGGATCTGTTGCTTGGTATATACGTATAGTACTGCATTCAAATCCTTGGCCTCACTTTGTTGTGGAGATTTTTTTAACTTCTCAGTTTTCACACACACACACACACACACACACACACACACACACACACACACACACACACACAGAGACACACAAATAGCAATAAATAGTCTTTACAAAGATTAAGGTAACCATAAGGTCCCATTAGTTAACATTAGTTAAGGCATAATAACTAACATTGAACAAAACATTTGTTACAGTATTTATTAACCTAACACTGGTTAATAAAAATACAACTTTTCATTATTAGTTCATATTCATTCAGATCCATTCAATAATACTAAACATATACAACTTTTGATTTTAAAAACGTATTAGTAAATGTTAAAATTAACATTAACTAAGATTAATACATGCTTTAGGAGTAATTCTGATTATTAACAAATTGAACCTTATTGTGTTACCAATATTAAATATTTTTTGGAATGTTTACACATTTTTTTAAATGTATAATTTAAATATAAAGTTGGTAAACAAATAAATGCATTTAAAATAAGAGAAATACTGCATTTTATTTATTTGACCTCTTTGGCTGATACAGGCTAAAGAAAGAAATGCTGCAACATGTTGCTGCTGTAGCAGCTGAATTCCGGTGGGTTTCAGACCAGAAGATGCCCGAGACGACAAAGAGGGCCATGCAAGAAAACCTCTCTGTGACAGCTCAACTTCAGCAGCTCTCAGACAAGACCAAGGAGCTGCTGAAGGAGAATGATGATCTGCGAGCAAGAGAAAAGCAACTCAAAATCGAGAATGCAATTACAGAACCGCTGATACATGAGATAACCAAGAAGAATGTTGCCAATCAAAAGGTAGCCAGTTTATACATCTATTCTTTCATGCATTTTTAAGCAATCTTTTTTGCTGTTTGGAAACAGGTGCATATTACATAACCTAGAGCAAAAATGAAACATATCTCTTTCTCAAGGTAGTCCATCAATTGACAGAAAAGTGCAAGCAAATGCAGTCTGAAGTGGAGAAATGTGCCAAACTTAAATTGGAGCAGCAAGAGCTGCTTGACAGTCATTCTGCAGTATGCACAGAGCTTGATGCTCTCAGGTTCGACTCCTGAAGTCACTTATAAGTTAAATAATTTCCTTTAAATACTTTTTGCGGTGTATTTTAATAGTATTACCAACACTGTACTTACAGACAGAAACATGCAACAGATATAGAAGTGCTGTACCAAACAAAAGCTGAAGCCAAGAGACAGAGGAAAGAGCTTGAAGAGGAAAGGACGCTGAGAAAACAGCTAAAGACAGTTCTTGAGGAAGCAACCGTAGCTTTAAAGGAGGCCCTAAGGGTAAGAGTGAACATAAACATCATTTATCATTTGGTGTTACAGCCAAGTAAATAAACAGAGGTCTTACTCTCGTTTGGTTACAGGAGATCCCTAAAGAGGAAGACTCAGAACTGAAGATTATTGTCAGACGAAATCAGATGATGCAGAAGCTGCTGGCTGTGCTGGACAGTGCTGCAGCTTTAGGAAACGGTCCAGCTCTTACTGAGTTCCTGCCAGAGGTGACTTGCAGTCATGATCTTAAAAAACCCTCTGACATAAAAAGGTACAAATTCATTCATTTTAATTCAGTGACATGGATTAAAATGGACATGCAACATATTGCAGCTCTAAGACATACTAACCATATAATAATGTTGGCAGTGTGATTCAATGACTCTCATGCTTGCCTTCAACTCCAGACCATGTGAACTCCTCCAGAAATCCACTTCACATCTTTCTCACTTCAAAACTGGAGACCTTGGGTTGGTCCCTCGCAAAAGACACACTACATTAAAGATAGGAAATCTCGCTAGGAGTGCTTATACCTATGTAAATAAGTAAGTATTTAGCTTGTGGCACATCAACAGTATACACATCATGTGATCATGGATATGAAATATTGTTAATAGTGCAGCAGATGAATTTTGACCAAGCAATTCATTTAACTTTTTGACTGTTTTCTTGTCTTATCAAGTCTTAACAATCAAGTGATAAATCACTGGCCTTTTCATATACTTGATCATACTTGTGGGAGTTATTTTTAATAATATATTGTTAAAGTGTAAATTATTCCAAATTTCATTGTGTTGTTTTCATGTCTTGTCACTAGGTGGCAGTGTTGTATCATTATGAATAAATAAGTGACGTTGGCCAGAAATAGGAATAGAGTCTTTTTTTATTAAAAATGTGTATTAATCTTTCCCATTCTCTTCCCATGACACAGAAGAGAATACATTGATAAATAAAGCTATTTTTGTTTTCTTTGCACACAAAAAGTATTCTCGTAGCTTCATAAAATTAAGGTTGAACCACTTCACATGGACTGTTTTAACGATGTCCTCGCTTCCTTTCTGGGCCTTGAACGTGGTAGATCCCTTGCTGTCTATGCAGGGTCAGAAAGCGAAAAGTCTTACAAGTTTGTAACGACATGAGTAATTAGTGACAGAATCTTCATTTTTTGGTGAACAAAACTTTAATCAATGCTTTAGAAATATTGTGTATTGAACCGTTGTGCTGCATTTTCTGTTGCCAATTTGACATGCGGTTTTCATATGCTAGACTTTGCCCACCCTGTTTTATATAGGCCCAAGCCCAACCTCCCATTTGCCTCACCCATGATAGTATCTGCTAAAATATTTAATAGATTTGCAGGTTAGTAACTGTCCCATCACCTCCTGTAGATGTCGTAAATACACCAGACAGGTTCCAAATACTGGAGTCCTTACCTAGCCGAGCATGTTGATGAATGATAAGACATCCCACCTCTCTCGGAAGGTCCGTGTGTATGTAAAGCTCAGTAATGATCCATGGTCCATTGATATCTTAAACCAGTTGTGATACTGGTTCACAAGACTGCACATCTTCTAGGCACTCTTTCCAAGAGATACTTGAATAAAAGCAGCAGTATTTTAGCATCCACTATGCAATAATATCATGCAGTTTAGGTGTCTATAGAGACTAAATCCGTTCCTGGTGGTCCCTCTCGGTAGAAATCACGTTCGGGCCATTGATATCGTCCTAACCTCCCTTGTGTCATTAAGATTCTTAAAGATTTCTATTTTTGCAACATACAACATTGGAATAAAATGAGGGTGAGTATGAACAACATTGTCAACATGTTTTCATAATTCTTTATTCAAACGAGACACGGAAATGGCCAGAAAGACAAGAACTTTAGTAAGGCAGACAGATATAAAGACTGCTGTCTGTTTCTGTGGTATCAATGATTTAATTCATACAACACTGAAAACTTTGTTCTTTGGTGTTTGCTGTTTTTCTGAGGTTATGTTTGACCATAGAAATATTAATTATAAGAATATCCACCCTTCTTAGTTTGTCTGCTCTGAAATAACAGAACACATATTACAGTGAGACTTCAAATTTACACATACAAAGAACATATATTTGGCAAGATAAGATGGCTCCTGACAGTTTTGATCAAAACAACAGATATATTTCAAAAGAATGTCATACATAACGCTTTTTGGTCACAGCCATTGAAATAATTAGCTCACCATGATGCCAAAGCTGCTGCTCATGACAAACCCAATATAGTGGAAGATTCTAGTGCTCTCATTTTGATCAGCAACTCCATATTACAACTCGGGTTTGCAGTGTTTCTAACTGCAACATTCAGCTTTGTACACGCACCTCAACAAAGACATACAAAAATCAGTAATTATGATACACACCATGTCAAACAATTACTTCTGCAGTCAGATAGGGCTTGTGGAATTGCATATATGTACTTAATGATGGAAAGACCTACAGTCGAGTGATAGTAAGCACTTTCAACACCATGTCTGCTATAATAATATAATTATTGTGCCTTTAAAGTTCAAATATTTGTACAAATAAGGCATACTAGAAGATAAAGGATTAAAAATATGTTTGGCTGAAAAAAAGAGATAATTTTAACTTTTTAAAAATGTATACAAAAATATTCCCTTTTAAAGTATAGAAGGCACTTAAGTTAAAACCATTTGACGGAAACAGAAATCTAGCCACAGGAGTTAAATGCATGTGAATCCATTTACTGTCCCAAAAAATGAGAGATGGGAGGTAGACGTTTACATGTTACTTTTCAAGTCTGGATTCACCTCGACTCATATTCTGGCTATGAATGAAAGCATATGTGTGTTTTATGTGTTGTATGTTGGTATCTGAGGCTTTTACAACAGACCTGCTGGTATACACAAGTACACACGCCAATGAACCTGAATTGAATGATATGAGTGACAGTAAACCTCACTTACCTAAAACAGCCAAACAGAAGTTTCATTATTAAAAACAAAAATCTGTTCATTCTCTATTGCACTTTACAGAAAATATACATACACGCATGTACATGTATAAATACACATGATCATGTGTAACTATAGAATATAAAATAAGTACTTCATTATATAAATCACGTGTGAAAAACACAACTATGAATAAATTAAGATTTCTATTAGAGTTTAATAAGCACCTCCAACCACATATCCAGGCCTTGTTTTCAAACAGAAGAAACCCAGCTCTGAAAAGAAAGAATCTGTCATCCTGAGCTGCTCACATAGGAAGTCTTGTTTTCTCCAAAGCTGCTCTAGTCTCCTCTTTCCCCATGTTTAAAGGCTGCAGTCCACACTGTACAGGAGATGTACAGTTTTGTTGGCCTCTAGGCCAGAGAGAGGCTCTGTAATGCTGCTCATCGGGGTATTTAAGGCTTCCATTGTTGCTTTCTTTATAAATAGCATACAGGGCCCACTTCAAGGTGGTAATGTGATCCAGATTTTGTGCTGGGCAAGTTGTAGACCTCCACAATGGGCAGTAAGTTTGGGTCCTGTGTCTGGAAAATGAACTGTGTCTGATGCCATCGACCATCTGTGATCTGAGAGGACAGAAAGTGGAAGGATTGGTTGTGATAATCAGGTGTCCTAATAATGATATGTGTAAAATAGTTAAAAACACTATTCTGTTGCACCGGGGTTTCCCAAACGTTTTTGTTGTCTGAACCATTTTGATGTAAAATAATTACTTGAATTACCCCCTGAGATTTTAAATTATTATTTTGATAATTTAACAGCACATTCATATGTTCACGACTCTTTGATGTCGGTTAATGGTCACACTGACACGCAACTAAATAGATAACATATTTAATCTTTGTAGCTGGACTCGAACATCTTTTTAGTTGTAATAGTGTATCTGTCCACATTGCATTTACACTGGTTCTTTAGTAACGCTATCCTAATGAACTGATAATATTAATAACAATAATAATGAAGTTGCATTGCCAAATGCATGTTAAGCTCGCAGCACATGATGGAGTTTTTAGCATTTACTGTGAACTGAGCTGCTCTGAGCCACTGAAAACACACTAAGCTATATTGCAATTTTTGTGTAGCCCCATTTATTTATTTTAATTTGACATTTTTTATAACTTATTATTAGCTTTTTATCAGCTCACAAACCACTGTTTCGGAAACCCTGCATTACACAATAAATAAAAAGTTACCTGTTACCCACTAATAATGTTTAAATATAAGTTTATGCATACCCAGCACTCATCCTTTATCAGTTCAGGCTCAATGAATCCCCCAGACTCGATTATCTGTCCATTCCAGGCTTTAAAGTACACCGCACTAGAGGAAGGTGTTTTGGAGTGCCCCGCTGCCCAAACAGAGACGTTCAGGCAGTGAATGGTGATGATCTGCACAGCTTCAGAGCTCAGGAGGTGGATGAAGTTCATCTGGATCAGACTCACTCCAATCTCCAACTTCAGGATAGCAATAACAACATAATCAACTGATTAGAACTATGGGACCACATAAAAGGGAAGACATATTGACAGATTTTCACTTTTGAGTGAACAATTTTGTCGAAAAACGGACACCTAGAGTTTGCGGAATCATAGCCATTTCAGTTCTGCAGGTTCAGATTCAGTGCAATCCTGCTCATAATGTAGTTAGTTGTCAGCTTTACAGACCTTGGACACAGCAACTGGCTTAAGGCAGGTTTGACCTCCATTGGTGAAGTTGCAGGTCACTTCAATATTGTCAGAAAAGCAGCCCAGGTTAGGATCTATCCAATATGTGCCTTCAGTAAAATACAAAACAAAATGAATGAGTCCATTCCTATCCTATTCATTCCTATAATACGTGACAAACTGCACTTGGTTATTAGCTACATAAAACATAGTTACATAATTGGTGGTGTTAATGTAGCTTTAGTGATCATTACAGAGCTAAAACAAACAAATTGTCAATGGAGATAATTTACTATTAATATCTCACCATCATTCAACTTGTGCTCGCACTCAAACAGATCTCTGCACATTCTGGCTGGATTCTCCTGTGTTCCCAGGGGATTCTTAATGCTGTGGATCAGAGTGCTGAGGTAGTGAAGAGTCTTAAAGATCTCTGTTCCCTGGTCCAGCATTGGAAAGTCAGTATCTTCATACTTCTGTGGGTTGGAATGAAACAAAGTCAGGTCTATGATGTTTTGCAGACTAACTGTGAGTGACTGAGGGATGATCGTAATACATAAGACTTTGTTAGTGATGAGCTCTAAACATTACTCAGTGCTCCAGACAGCCCATAAAAGTTAAGCTATCAGCATAGGAAAAAAGTGTTTGGTTCCATTCGTTTTCAATCATTTGAAAGTAATAAATGATAAAAAATGAATAAATAAATGTTGGTCAGAGTCCTGACATAATGTTAATGCTCTTTGTTTATCTAACCTTCATTCAGTGGTATGGAATTGACTGTATTAAATGTTTACAAACAAATGTCTTTAGTTTATGATTGTTGATGCATTTAAATGACATGTAGTAGTTATTACCTGATTAGGTTAAGTGAAGGTGCCACAGAACAGGCCAAGTTCACTGCTTTGAGGTCAAGTTATTCTGCTAAGGTCTAAAACTAAGCTCTCACACCGAAGCTCTACACATTTTGAACACTGTCGCCACTTACCTCGGACCTTAAAGTAGAGCGGGAATCCATAACAACATGTAAAGCAGCACCAAGGGCCTTATTTTCCTAAGAGAAA